GGTCATAGGTCAAAATAGTTAAACACATTTTGAAGAGGAATAAATAAACTTTCATTTAAGCTATGGTTCATAAAAATCTAATTGCTTATAGAGCCAGGGTGATATAAAATGTGACAGGATTTCCCATACTAATGACAAAAATTTTGGAAATTATTGAATATTAGTATCTCAATATATGCGACCAATGGTGCAAATAATATATATGAAAGAATTTTAAATTTATTCAAATCAATAACAGAATAGCAGAGGTTTGAATATTCTGGATTTTGTCCTTTATTGAGCATAAATCAAAAATTTAAAAACGTTGGCATTCCGTTATTAATTGGAATAATTTTAAAATTCTTTCATATATATTATTTGCACTATTGGTCGCATATATTGAGATACTAATATTCAATAATTTCCAAAATTTTTGTCATTAGTATGGGAAATCCTATGTCACATTTTGTATCACCTTGGCTCTATAAGCAATTAGATTTTTATGAACAATAGCTTAAATGAAAGTTTATTTATTCCTCTTCAAAATGTGTTTAACTATTTTGACCTATGACCTTTGGTCTGACCTCTGCATATGACCTTTGCGTTTGTCCCGTGATTTTAATGACTTTAAATTTTTTATAAATTTTAACTAATTGGATAATAACTGCATTAAATAGACGTTTAAAATACTTTTTACCGATTTTGGCTAAGTGTTATAACAAAAAACTTGACTTTAAATTTTTTATAAATTTTAACTAATTGGATAATAACTGCATTAAATAGACGTTTAAAATACTTTTTACCGATTTGGCTAAGTGTTATAACAAAAAACTTATTAAAGTTTTGCCAGAATAATTTTCACGTGAACTACCTTATATGTTTTTGGATAACAATCATTTTATGCACAGTGAAATTATATACAATTAAATCAATTATTAAAACACATTAGTTAAAATGTAACTTTGTAGCAAATGTAATAATTATTTATTAAATTAATAAGTTAGTTATTATATAGTGAAATATAATTACTAAGATTATTTTTTAAATTCATAAACTATAATAACACTAATAATTATTCTTAATAAACGTACCGGGGTACCATTGAAACTTAGTGACAAGAAAAAGACGTATGATGTTAATGCTAAGCCAATTTCGCAAAAGAAAAATACCAAGTACCTTTTGGTATTTAGTGTGAATATTTCGGCGTGCACTATCTTAGTATCAGGTTCATTATCTGACACAAGAGAATCTTGATCGGTATCTTGATTTTGAACCTGGCTCATTCTATTATAAATGCTAAGTAAATTATTTCAAATGAATTTTAAATCAAATGTAATGTTATAATGTACTAACATTTATATACTGTATACTTGTTGAGCAATGTAATAGTTAATAAAATTAAATAATGAAATTTATCATTTAATCAATATTTAATCAATATATAAAATGAATAACTTCATAAACAAAACACTTGAATTCATACTTAATGTGGTTATCAAAAATATTTTTATATTGCTCTTACTTAAATAACCTTCATACCTATGATTTTGTTTTGAATCTTTTTTTTGTTAAAGTTTATGAACTTTGTATCTTTATCATTAATACGAAAAGATTTTATATGACAACACTAAAATAAAATCTTCGCATAACAAATTATTTACTAAAAATATATTATAGTTAGCGTTGCTCATCTTTTATTACTTGATAATTATTTAATTTAAAAAACTTGCAAAAATGATTTATTAAATTATATACTTTTAATAGTTGACATATCAAAATGAAAAATTTACCATGTGTATTTATTGGTCTGTTTATCTTGGTCTATGGTAAAATCTTTTATTACAGGTTCAATCAATAATTTATAGAAAGTTCTAGTAGAATATAGATTATGTCAACGTAAGTTAATGTATTACTTAAAAACTATGATAATAGGTTCTACCCCAAAAAGCCTACGACCTAAAAGGCCTACTCTGACATAAAATCTAAATATTTTTTATTTCACTGTATTAATGTGGACCAAAGTTGAGATATACACTGGCACAATAGTATTACATAAATTACGCTAATATATTTGACGTAATTTATACAATATGAGCATTTATTGCATAATTGTTTGTAAAATTTTGAAAAATGTTAATAAACATAGTTTGGTAAGTAAATAAATTATGTAAAATTAGTTGAACGTAATTGTTGACTAAATTAATGGGCGCCAAACATAATTAAACTTATTTGAGCTATTTATCACATTTTATTAACATGTAAATTCAAATTTGGTAAAAGTAGGCCTTTTAGGTCGTAGGCGTTTTGGGCGAGTCCGTGATAATATCATATTATGTCTATACTTTTACATAAACACTTAACTTAACACTAGCACATCAATCAATGGGTTTTTACTGAGACTTTTTTAAAAGATTAATTTGTGTTATAATTACAGTTTCTATATTAACAGATATGTCTGTGAGCCCAATCCCAATAGTATATCAGTAAAACTTTAATCTTAACCATTCAATATTACTCTTATGGAAGATTGAGATTAAACAACACTGTATACCAGTAGTCATATGAAAACAAATTTTAAATTAAATACGCTAAATGCTTTAAGAAAGTTACCATAGAAATTTTAAAAACTTAACTATAGATTTATTCAATAATTTATTGATACCTTTAGTAGGGTAACGGTTAAACTAAGATATGTTAATGGACTTACCCAGGGGTCACGCATACATGTTTTTATAATGAATATGCGCAATCATTTCAATGAACAGTTTGTAAAAGTCCAATAAAAGTATGATAGAAGTTTAATAAATATTTTAAATACAGTACACGCTATTTAGTAAAAACCTTTACATGATTTTAGGTTTACACATATACTGTATTCATAAATTATATTAATGTACAAGAAACTGTTAATGCCATTGTATACCGAATTTTTATACTAGGTAGTGACATAATAGTAATGAAAGTGAAAATCATATTAATTAAATAATTTTACTATATAAAATAAATATACATGTTTATTTTATCATAAACTGACTAGTGAGGGCATTCAATAAGTGTAAATAATCTGATTATTATCATACATTCAATAGGTTTAGTACAAATGGACTTTATTATCGATAGATACACTCACTTCAAATTGACTATAAATATAGCATAAAGTTATTGGTTTGTAATAATTGATAGAAGTTTTATATTTATAAAATATAAAGTTATGTCAGTTTCGTACGACTTTGCGGGTAAAGTAGTGTTGATAACAGGCGGGGGTTCGGGTATCGGTGCCGCCACTGCCGTAGAGTTTGCCAGATATGGCGCTCAGGTAGTTATCGGCGACATCGACGCCACTGGACTGACACAAGCGGCCACACAGTGTCTGAATGTATCCCCGAATGCATTGAAAGCATTGCAAGTGTTGGCAGACGTTACCAAAGAGGGAGACCTACAGAGACTGGTGGACACGACTATCACCGCATGCGGACAGTTAGATATTCTGGTCAATAACGCCGGCGTCTCAAGGAATATCAATATAAACCACCCGGATTATATGACTTCATATAAACGCATTTTGAGTACAAACTTGGATTCAAGCGTACATTTGACTCATTTATGTGTCCAGTATTTGGAGAAAACTAAAGGAGTTATTGTCTACACATCCAGTGTTATGGCATATCAAGCGGTAAAATAGTATAACAGATATTATTAATAATAATAATCATAATTAAATGTGATTTTAACAAATAAATGACACCAAATAGACACCGGATTTTTCAGCGTATTGTATGTCAAAAGCGGCGATAAATATGTTCACCAAATGTATGGCCATAGAGTTAGGCGGGAAAGGCATTCGTGTTAATAGTGTTAAGTGAGTATAACTACAGTATTAGTGAGCAAATAGGTTATGAAAATAAGGAATTATTATATTATAATAAACTCTATTATTCTCTAATATAAACATTTATACATATTGATTAATTGAAAATGTTTGTATATATATATTATATAATACTATTTTTAAATTTTTGGTAATATTTTTAAAATTCAATTATAGTCCGGGTTTTATAAAAAGTAAAATACACTCCGGAAGTGGTCTTTCAGAGGATGTTATTCAACACATATCCCAAACATTCGCTGATAAATATCCGGTCGGCCGAGTGGGCGAGGGCTTAGATGTGGCCAATACTATTGTATACCTGGCCAGTGGCCAGGCATCATTTATAACGGGTGCTAGTGTATTGGTCGATGGTGGACACATTGCCGGCTCAGTTACCTTTTAACATAGTGTATAATAATTTATAGACAACCTTGAATAAAATGTTTTTTAAGTAAATTATCTATACAGTATAATATATAAGTGTATACAGTATATCTGTCTTATTTATTCAAAATCAGTCTTATATATAAGATATATATTTTAATATTTTTCATTGCTTTGAATCATACTTTACTCGATTCATATCCTATATATAAGACTGATTTTGAATAAATAACACAGATATGAGAAAAGTTTCATTAAAAAGTAATATACTGTACAGTAAATGTGTCACGTGGCCTAGTATACAATTATAACTATGTAGTTATTTTAGCAACTTAATTATTAATTATAAAAGATAATTATAAATAAATAAATGTGTTGCATAATCAATATTTTATTACATTCCATGTTAGCGATTCAGTACTTAAAATCTTAATTTAAAATAAAAAATAATATATTTAATATAATATAATATATGTAAAGTATATATGAAATAAAATACAAAACATTTTCTAAGAATTATATTTCTAAACTTTTATTATATTTATAATTAAATAAATGTGTATTTCATTTGAAACATAAACTAAACTTCAAATGATTTTAATTTTATTGCACTAATTCTCTGTATTTATAAATATATGTCAGATATATGTCCAGTAGAAGTGGACATCAGTGCATACAAAGTGTATGGGAACTGGAGGTCAAAGTAAGGCCTAAATGGGTCGACTACCAGAATAGCCGTCACTCGCACCCACACAAACATACCGCACATATAATAAAACACAAAATATTCTGTATTTAAACTGAACACAAATGCACACAAAAAGAGATCTTATAATTTGGACACCAATTCAGTGCACTATTCGTGTCACTGATTGTCTATAATTTTATATTCAATTCATTTCAATACTATTTGTATTTTAAAATTAAGTTAAAATAAAACTTAATTTTGTTTTTGAAAAATCAAATCACGACTGCATTAAAAACTTTTATTCATTTGAACGCAAAAAGTGTTCAAAAACTTATAAAACTATTCTCAAACGACTCATACTTTACATATAATATATATATGAAAATATCCTAAAACCTCTGAACGCCTACACTCTGGTGTAGACCCGGACGGCCACCACTGAGCCCACGGTAGCCCTCCTATTGTCCTCCGACATGACTATTGACTATATTATGCAACAAAACAAATTTAATTGAAATTAAAATTATAATTTAATTTAAACCTAATGTGGAAACTAATAAACATATTTATATTAAAATTGTAATTAATTTTATTTATTTGTTGTAAATTATAGGTAATAGTGTATACCTTGACAGACTATATTGAGCAATGTATATTAGAAAATTATATGATGAACTTTATCATTTAATAAATATTTTATCAATATACTATATTAAATTTAAAAATTCACAAACAAAACACTTATATTTATTATAGATATCAAAAATATTTCTACATTGCTCTTACCTAAAAAAACCTTATATTATACTTATAGATTATCTTTTTGTATTGAATCTTTGTTACCACTTATCATGCTGGGTTCAAAACTAGGGCTGCCGCCTATTTTCAGAGCCCAGGAGGATAAATTGCCAACATTGAGTCAGATTAGGAGGACAATAAAATATTTGTTTATAATTTTGTCTCCTGTAATCTTAATAGTATAAGAAACTATTGTGTTAATGTGGAAAACACTTATTATTGTCCTCCGAACAATGATTTTACAGTTTATATAAATATTTTATATTCACATCAACAGTAATATTAAATATATTTACAAATTTAACTAAGAATCAAATTAAAGAAAACAAGTATTATTATAAAGATAAAAATTAAAGATATGTTTAATAAATAAATAATTACAGATAGTAAAAAATGTTTAAAAATAATTTATATAATTTATTAGTATTGGCTAAATATTAGTATTTTTGTCACTAATGCTTTTACAGTTTAATTTTTATATTAATTTAAACTTTTAAAATATTTATAATAAATCTGTTTTTATATTTACAGTTTGAACAAATTGAAATGTTTTTGTTTTTACAAACTTTCAGTTCATTACTATTAGATGGTATTACTTATTTAAATTGTGAGTGTTAGCATAAATTATTAAATATTTAAATATTTAAATATAATTAAAAATTTGTTTTATGTTGTAAGTAAAAGTGTTTTACAATAAAAATATTTTTATATTAAACAAAAAATCATTTAAATTACTGAATATCTCTTAACAAATAATGTATTAAAAGTTTTGTGAAAATTATTAGCCGTTGTATTGACCGCAGAGGCCGTGAATATGATTATCAAAAATATAGCACTCATTATACACACAAAGTATATGAATATAAACCGGACAAAAAACACCATTTCCAGGAACAGTATCATAAATATGCCCATTACTATCACACAACCAAAACCCACCCAGACACAAAATAAATATTTACACCAAAAACCCTCATTATAATCACTAATCTCTAGAAATATATCATATAGTTCCCTAACCTTCACCAGAATATTCCCATTATTTTTATGAATATCCGGAATATTCTGCGAATATATACTAAATTTGAGTCTCAAATAATAACTCATCAGGTAGAAATAATTCAATTGCCACAAAATTATGCCAAACGTGTGATAACTAGTAAAACACGTCAACACTGTATTGGGTATACTGTATAACAGGGCCGGGAGGGTCGGCTGATATATAGCTACAGTTATCACTACAATAAGGCCCACAAACGGCGCAGTCCTTTGGTGTATGAATCGGTTGACAGTAAATAAAATCCTCGATATTCTCAGCAATTTATTAACCATATGGGGGTCCGTGAGCCCCACCATCTCAGGGGTAGTCATACCAGACATCATAGCGAATACACGTAGAAATGTGGGCGCAATACCTGTCCAATAGCTGTAGTAATATATGAATTGATTGGCGATTAAGTATGAAAATAGTATTATAGCTCCGGGTCTGTAGTATAGTCCATAACCCATCCAATGAGAAAAATCACCAAATATTATGACCAGGGACATGTTTTTACCATTATTTATAGCTAGCATTATATGGATTAATAAGTATACCCATAACCCTAATGATATTAATATTGGTTGCGAGTACCAGTGCCGTTTGGGTACCGGTGCTGAGTATGGTTGTAGACATAGACCTGTTTGATATAATTTGCTCACGGCTACTTTAATACATAAATTATCTGGTAATATTTGTTTTATATATACTGTATTCATTTCAATTAAATTTATTTTAACTATACAAATAAAGTATTATTTAATATAAGTATATACTGTTTAAATATCATTTCATAAATTATTTAAGTTTAATATATTATTTTCAAAAAATAATTTGTTATTTATAAATATGTTTTATTTTTATTATATATAGACTATAATTATAGACTATATAACATAGAATTATACATTTCTAAATAATATTTGTATTAATGAATGGCCTTGGTACGGACATTAACAATTAACAGACAATTACCATTAACAATAATAATTAACATTAATATTTAATGTAGTTATTTAGTTAATATACTGCATAATATAAATATAATATTATATCTCATTAAATAGTCAATATCACAAAAAAATAATTTTTATTATACTAGACATTAAGTTACTAGTATAGATTCTTACCGCATAATTAAATACAATTATCAACTAATTATATATTATACTGTATGTAAAATATTTTGTAATATAATTATTTTTATATTTAATTACTAACAAAATATACATTTACAATACTGTATATCTCTTAACAAATAATGTATTAAAAGTTTTGTGAAAATTATTAGCCGTTGTATTGACCGCAGAGGCCGTGAATATGATTATCAAAAATATAGCACTCATTATACACACAAAGTATATGAATATAAACCGAACAAAAAACACCATTTCCAGGAATAGTATCATAAATATGCCCATTACTATCACACAACCAAAACCCACCCAGACACAAAATAAATATTTACTCCAAAAGCCCTCATTATATTCACTAATCTCTACAAATATATCGTGTAGTTCCCTAACTCTAACCATAACACCTTTATGAACATCAAGAATATTATGTAAATATATACTAAATTTCAATCTCAAAAAGTAGCTAGTTAAATAGAAATAATTCAACTGCCATAATATTACCCCATATACGTGATAACCTGCATAACATGTTAACACCGTATTGGGTATACTGTACAATAGGGCCGGGAAGGTCGGGTGATATATAGCTACAGTTATCACTACAATAAGCCCAATGAATGGCGCAGTCTTTTGGTGAATGAATTTATTTACATTAAACAGAAATCTCGATATTTTCAGTAATTTATACACCATATGGGGGTCCGTGAGTCCTACCATCTTGGGGGTAGTCATACCAGACATCATAGAGAATACACGTAGAAATGTGGGCGAAATACCTGTCCAATAGCTGTAGTAATATATGAATTGATTTGCAATTATGTATGCATACAGTACTATAGCTGCGGGTCTAAAGTACTGTCCACAGCTTATCCAATGCGAAAAATCAGCAAATATTATCACCATGCTCATATTTCTTGCATTATTTATAGCGAGCATTATGTGTATTAATA